CTCATTTGTACATCGTTTCTTAAAACATTTTCTCTCCATTTAAACCCCCGAATGATGTTCAATTTGTAACAATGAAAATACATCCTGCCTGTCAGATTCATAACCGTAGCAATATTACAGTGATGAAGTAGCAACGAAATAATTTTATGGTTGTGGGTCGCCACCACATGAGGAACTGTATTAAAAGGTCTCAGCTTGAGGAAGGTTGAGAACCGCTGGGCTATTGGTAATACTGGTAGAGGGATTTAGGAAAAAAGTGGAGCGGTCTAGATTGGAAAGAAGGCGTGGCCTTGAACAAACGGGCCCTGGGCGGGTGGGATCTAAGAGGGGGTGGGGCTAGATCTAGGGGCGGGGCTTCAGGGGTGAGGCGGGGCTTACTTAGGAAGGGCGTGTGTTCCGAATGGAAAGGAGGTCTGGTCAGAATGCAAAGGACCGGACCCTTGGCACGACGTCCCAAATCTGGTACCCTGCACCCGGTGTCCTACCCAGCATCCTAGGCTGCACTGGCGCTGAAGTCGGGGGGACTGGCAGAGGCGGAGCCGAGCGGAGGAGAAGAACTTCGGAGAGAAGAGGGGCGGGACCATGAGAAGGGGGCGGGGCTGGGAGACCGAAGCGGGGCGGGTGTTTGTGTAGGAAAATCCAACTGCGCCACGGGGCGGAGCGGCCCCCCCAGCCCCGGCCTGGGAGAGGGGGGGGCCCGCACGACCCCTGGGGAACCTTGGGGAGCATGAACACCTGGGGGCCCCCCCCCGAACCAGGTAACGGGGAGTTGCGTATGACCGCGTCTGAAAAGAGGGAAACAGTGTCCAGGCAGGAGGCGGGACGCCTGAGCCGCCGCGCAGAGCTGGGGATGGGTGTTTGGGTCTCAGGAAAGCCCTAGAAGACGGGTCTGGGGAGGAGGCTCAGGACATCGGATCCCCTGGGAGGGAGAGCCAAGGATGGCGGTTGAGGGCAAAGCTGAGAGACAGATATCTTGGGTTCCAGATGTCAACAGGGGCTTAAGAGGACGCTCAGGTCCCTTTGAGCTGTGATCGTGCTGACCGGACAGGGCGCAGCGCCCCGAATGGGCAGGACTCCAGGTCAGGGTTTACAGACAGGCCAGTGCGATGACCTATTGTGGCCAGACCCCTGGGTCCCTCTGGTCTGGGAGCCACTTCAAGGCTCCCTCCAGTTCATCCTATGGGCCACGCGTAACTTCAGCCCTCATCCCAGAAAGCCTGATGGCCTCCTAGCAGCCGCCTTCCCCCGTGTCCACAGGCCCACCTCACCTCATTTCACCTCTCCCCCCCCTCGTTTCCTCATCGCTGGTCCCGCCCCCACTCCGCAGCCCTGTTAGGGCCCTTTGAGAGGGGGGGGGGGTGCTGAACCTTTCCAATGTCGCCGCGAGATGGCAAGGGCGAGAAGCTCTCTCGTAGCTGAGTGGGGGTGGTGGTGATGGTGGAGGATGTGGCCTTGAAAGCAACTGAAGCCCCCCAAACCCCCATCCCTTTCTCGGGGAAGGCGGCTGAGGCCCTCATTTGATTTCCCGTCATCCTGGCCCCCACACAGGAAACTGTAGGAGGGAGGGCGAAGGACTACCGTGGGGAGGGGGCTGGAAGCCCAATCTCAGCCTTTCTGGTCAGAGAAAATAGTAGGGAGGGGGCACGCGGTTGGTTGCTAAGCAACGCACTTGTTTCCTGTCTGCTGCTGCTTGTGGCAGTGACTTGAGGTGGGGCTTGGCCTGCGCTGGGGGCTGGGAGACTGTAAATAAAGACGCCAGGGTCCCAGGATCAGAGAGAGCCGGGTGGCTCCTTGTCTGAGGAAGGCGGGGACCCCAGCGCCCAGCTCCCCGCCCCTCCCCGGGGCTGCTTGCCCTGTTGCCAGAGTAACTGGAGAACCCGACTCCAGAGCCGGATTCCCAAACTCCGGAGTCCGCCCAATCCGCTCCGGCGGACTGGCCTTACATCAGGGCCCCAGCAGCCAATGGGGACGAGGCATTATAGGTGGACAGGAAGAGAGATAGGGGGGGCCGGAGGTGGAGGAAAGGAAGGGGTAGCTGCCGGGGGCCGCACGTGCACTCCCACACGCTCGCGCCCACCTCCCCTCCTTGCACCGCACGCGCCCGAGCAGCACCCCACCCCCCGCCGCGCCTGCGCACCTAGTCGCCCTCCCCCTCCCCTTTCTGCTCCCCTTCTGCCTAGCCTTGGTTCTGTGTTTGCAAACGAATCTTGGGCCAGTCTCCTCAGCCCCTTGCGAATCAAATGCCTGGGTCAACCAGTGCTCTCTCCCAGGTCTCGAACCATTAGTGCCCAGCCTTGCGTGTGAGGTACTAGTTTACCTGTTCCCCTCCTCCCCCCGCCCCCCAGCTGGCGCCCCACGCTCCCAGGTGGGCTGGGCGGAGCTGTGGTTTCCGGCTCCACATCCACCGCCAATGCGTTCCGGGCTCTGGCTTAGGTGGTCTCCCATAGGTGAATGGAGTGGGTACCAGCGCCTTTTCCTCGACTTCAGTCGCCAAGATGCGGCGGC